CCAAAAAAAAAAAAAAAAAAAACCCACACCAAAACCATACTTCTATATTCATAGGATTTTGAAAGGAAAATGCTCAATAAGAAGTAGGATAAAACTGTGAGTCTTGCAAGAGATCTTTCAGGTCTTCCCCTCTTCCTAACCATTCACCTTAATGAATTCTCATTCACTAACATTTTCCTTTATGTGCCTTAATTAAACTGTCAAGTTATTAAAGGTTTAGGCCTTAGCTTCCCTATGTTTATCTTCATTTTATGGGCATCTCATTCAGAATTCTGGTTTCAATTATTATTTCTAGCCAGGTGACTTCTAGATCAACTTCCAAACCTGACTTCTTGATATTTCCAACAAGAGAATCCACCACTGTAAATTCAAAATATCCCAAACTAAAGTCATCTTTATCCCTAAAGTATGCCTCCCTCAAGTACAAAATCTCAGAGCTAACTTTGATTTCTCTTCTTCCATAGAATTTGATTGTTTTTTCAGTATCACCTATAATTGTTCATTGCTTTTTATCCTTTACCACAACTTGTGTGCAGATCCTTGGCAGCTCATGAATTCCTGCATTAGTCTCCTTACCATCAGTCTCTACTGCTCTAATCTACTGCATCTTCTATGGCTGCAAAATCTATCTTTCATATTTGATTTAAATATATGTGCTCCTCAACTTAAACTCACATATTGCTGGTAGGAGTACAAAATGATCCAACTGCTTTGGAAAACTCTAGGGCAGTTTCTTACAAATGTAAACATACACATATCCTGACTCAACAATTCTACTTCAAGGTTTTGACCCAAAAGAAATGAGACTATCGTCCACAAAAAAGATCTTTGTAGGAATATTGATGGTGAATACGCTCAGGATCTCTCAAGCTGAAAGAACTGAGGAAAATATTTAAGCCTCAAGTTGTAATATTGAAAAATTCTGTGGGCAATATATTGAATGATGCAGGAAACATCAAAAGAAGCTGGAAGGAGTATACAGAGTCACTGTACCAAAAAGAATTGGTTGATGTTCATCCATTTCAGGAGGGGGCATATGATCAAGAACCAATGGTACTGAAGGAAGAAGTGGAAGCTGCACTGAAAGAACTGGCGAAAAACAAGGCTCAAGGAATTGATGGAATAACCATTGAGATGTTTCAACAAACGGATGCCGCACTGGAAGCACTCACTCGGCTATGCCAAGAGATTTGGAAGACAGCAACCTGGCCAACTGAGTGGAAAAGATCCTTATTTGTACCCATTCCAAAGAAAGGTGATCCCTCAGAATGTGGAAATTATCAAACAATATCATTAATATCACATGCAAGTAAAATCTTACTGAAAATAATTCAAAAACGATTGCAGCAATATATTGACAGAGAACTTCCAGAAATGCAAGGTAGATTCAGGAGAGGACATGGAACAAGGAATATCACTGCTGATATCAGATGGATCTTGGCTGTAAGCAAAGAATGCCTGAAAGATGTTTACTTATGTTTTATTACTATGTAAAAGCATTCCATTGTGTTCATAACAAATTAGGGATAACACTGAGAAGAATGGGAATTCCAGAACACTTAATTATGCTCATCAGGAACCTGTATATAGACCAAGAAGCTATCATTTGAACAGAACAAGGGAATACTGCATAGTTTAAAATCAGGATGGGAGTGCATCAGAGTTGTGTCCTTTCCCCATACTTATTCAATCTGTATGTTGAGCAAATAATCCAAGAAGCTGGACTATATGAAGAAGAACATGGCATCAGGATTGGAGGAAGGCTTATTAACAACTGACGATACACAGATGACACAACTTTGCTTGCAGAAAGTAAGGATGACTTGAGCACTTACTGATGAAGATTGAAGAATACAGTCTGCAGTATGGATTACACGTCAATATAAAGAAAACTAAAATTCTCAGAACTGGACCAATAAGCAGCATCATGCTAAGTGGAGAAAAGATTGAAGTTGTCAAGGACTTCATATAACTTGGTTCTATAATCAATACCAATGGAAGCAGCAGTCAGGACATCAGACGGTGTATTGCACTGGGCAAGTCTGCTGCAAAAGACCTCTTTCAAATGATGAAGAACAAAGATGTCTCCTTGAAGACTAAGGTGCGCCTAACCCAGGCCATAGTATTTTCAATCACCTCTTACGCATATGAAAGTTGGACAATGAATAAGAAAGACTGCAAAAGAGTTGATGCTTTTGACTTGTAGTGATGGTGAAGAATACTCAAAGAACCATGGACTGCTAAAAGAACTAACAAATCTATCCTGGAAGAAGTGTAGTTGGAATGCTCCTTGGAAGCGAGAATGGCTAGACTTCATCTCACCTGTTTTGGTCATGTTGTCAGAAGGGACCATTCCCTGGAGAAGGATATCATGTTTTGTAAAGTGGAGGGTCAAAGAAAAAGGGGAAGGCACAACCATTTTGAATGCTTACACACAGTGGCCATTTTGGACATTTAAAGTGACCGAGCGCACAGACATTTTGAATGTTTACAAGCAGCAGCCATTTTGGATTTTAAAGTGACAGCATTCTCATTCGGATTCCAGGTACCTAACCATAGGCTCCATTTGCCAAGGATGGCAGGGACATACAGGAAGCTGACAAAAGGAAAGGAGACAGGTGGTGAGCATATAAGTGCTGCCAACTAGTGAATAGAGGAACATAGCACAGTACCCTGCTTACAAAGATAACATACAAATAAAACAAAGAAAATGAAAATCATGGGCAAGTCACTCCAACATACAATCACCTACTAAATATAAACACAAAAATGTCACAATGCCTCGGAGACATCAGAGCATCACAGTCCACACAAAGAAGCAAGATAAAGCAGGAGAAACAAGGGACCAGGATACAGACCCAAAACACATCCCTGAGAAAGATGCATCATTGGAACTCCCTGATAAGGAATTCAAAAGAATTATATTTAGGTACCTTCAACAAATTGAGAGAGAGAGATCAAGGAAAACACTAACAAAATGGAGGAAATACAAAGAAAACCCTAGAACAATTTCAAAAGGCAATACAAGAACAAAATGACAAAATAAATGAAAAATTAGAAATGATACAAAGTCTACAGACAGAAATCCAGAAGATTAATACTAAATTATGAGAAATAGATAACACATTGAAAGGGGCAAAGGAGTAGAACTGAATCAATGGAAGACAGAATTAGTGAGATTGAAGACAAATACTTGAATGCTTCTTTGGAAAGGGATCAATCAGAAAAAAGATCAAAACAAAATGAAGAAAGCCTAACATTCATGTGCGATACCAACAAAAGGAATAACCTACGTGTAATTGGAATTCCAGAACAGGAAGAGACAAATAAAACCACAGACAAAATTGTTGAAGATTTGTTGGCAGAGAATTTTCCTGGTATGATTAAAGATGCAAATATATCCATTCAAGAAGTCCAGTGACCCCCAACAGGATAGACTCCAAAAGAAAATCACCCAGACATATCATCAAACTCACTAAAACCAAAGACAAAAGAATCCTGACAGTGGCATGGGAAAAACAAACTACAAGGGGCAACCAATAAGACTAAGCTTGGATTTCTCAGCAGAAACCATGCAGGCAAGAAAACAATGGGATGGTATACATAAAACCCTGAAAGAGAAAATTTTTCCAACCAAGAATTATATATCCAGCAAAACTGTCCCTCATATATGATGGTGAAATTAGAACATTTCCAGATAAGCAGAAATTAAGGGAATTTGTTAAAACCAGACCAACAGACCATCAACTCCTCATGTACAAATTCAACATGAAGTTGAAGACAATTAAAACAAGTTCACGAGAGCCAAAAATATGACCTTGAATATATCCCTCCTGAATTTAGAGACCATCTAAAGAATAGATTTGATGCATTGAACACTAATGACCAAAAACCAGAATAATCGTGCGATGACATCAAGAGCATCATCCATGAAGAAAGAGGTCATTAAAAATACAAGAAAGAAAGACCAAAATGGATGTCAGAAGAGACTCTGAAACTTGCCCTTGAGCACGAAGTGTAGCTAAAGCAAATGGAAGAAATGACAAGACAAAAGAGCTAAACAAAAGATTTCAAAGGGCAGCTCGAGTGGACAAAGCCAATAACTATAATGAAATGTGCAAAGACCTGGAGTTAGAAAACCAAAAGGGAAGAACATGCTTGGCATTTCTCAAGCTGAAAGAACTGAAAAAAAAAAAAAATTTAAGCCTCAAGTAGCAATATTGAAAGATTCTATGGGCAAAATATTGAATGATGCAGGAGGCATCAAAAGAAGATGGAAGGAATACATAAAAGTCACTGTATCAAAAAGAACTGGTTGATCTTCAACCATTTCAGCAGGTGGCATATATTCAGGAACCAGTGGATATTGAATGAAGAAGTCGAAGCTGCACTGAAGGAATTGGCAAAGAACCAGGTGCCAGGAATTGACGGACTACCCATTGAGATGTTTCAACAAACAGATGCCCTACTGGAGGCACTCCCTCAGTTATGCCAAGAGATTTGGAAGACAGCTACCTGGCCAACTGTCTGGAAGAGATCCATATTTGTACCCATTCCAAAGAAAGGTGATCCCATACAATGTGGAAATTATCAAACAATATCACTAATATCACATGCAAGTAAAATCTTACTGAAGATAATTCAAAAATTGTTGCAGCAGTATATTGGCAGAGAACTTCCAGAAATGCAAACTAGATTCAGAAGAGGACGTGGAACAAGGGATATCATTGCTGATGTCAGATGGATCTTGGCTCAAAGTAAAGAATACCAGAAGGATGTTTACTTGAGTTTTATTGACTATGCAAAAGCATTTGATTGTGTGGAACATAACAAATTGTGAATAACACTGAGAAGCATGGGAATTCCATAACACTTAATTGTACTCATGAGGAACCTGTGCATTGACAAGGAGGCTGTCATTCAAACAGAACAAGGGGATAATGAATGGTTTAAAATCATGAAAGGAGTGTGTCAGAGTTGTATCCTTTCATCATATTTATTCAATCTGTACGCTGAGCAAATAATCTGAGAAGCTGGACTATATGAAGAAGAACGTGGCATCAGGATTGGAAGAAGAATCATTAACAACCTGCGATACGTGATGACACAACTTTGCTTGTGAGGATGACTTGAAGTGCTTACTGATTGGGACTGAAGAATACAGTCTGCAAAGTGGATTACATCTCAATATAAAGAAAACAAAAATCCTCACAACTGGAGCTATAAGCAGCATCACGATAAATGGAGAAAAGATTGAAGTTATCAAAGACTTCACACTGCTTAGTTCTACAATCGACGCCAATAGAAGCAGCAGTCAGGACATCGCACGACGTATAGCCCTGGGAAAATCGGCTGCAAAGGACATCTCTCAAGTGCTGAAGAGCAAAGATGTCTCCTTAAGGACTAAAGTGCACCTGACACAAGCTATGGTATTTTCAATTGCCTCATATGCATGTGAGAGCTAGACAATGAATAAGGAAAACCGAAAAAGAATTGATGCTTTTGAGCTGTGGTGTTAGTGAAGAATGCTGAGAGTACTGTGGACTGCTAAAAGAACTAACAGGTCTGTCCTGGAGGAAGTGCAGCTGAATGCTCCTTGGAAGCAAGAATGGCCAGACTTCATCTCCCCTACTTTAGTCATGCTGTCAGAAGAGACCATTCCCTGGAGAAGGGTGTCATGCTTGGTAAGGTGGAGGATCGATGAAAGAGGGAAAGGCCCTTAATGAGATGGACTGACATGGTGGCGGTGGCAATGGGCTCAAGTATACCAAGGATCACGGAGCTGGCGCAGGACCGGGGGGTGTTTCGTTCTGCTGTACATAGGGTCACTAAGAGTCAGAGATGACTCGATGGCACCTAACAACAACAAGACCAACCTTACAAGAGATGCAAAAGGCAGTCCTTTGGACAGAGAACCAACAACAGCCAACAACAACTGACCATTAACACACATGATGACATAACCCAGAAACCAACCCAGTTACAGAAATATCCAAAGTAAATAAGCCTATAAGATAGTAAACAGGGAACCAGAGACATCAATTGACAAATGAGGACAACTACAAACCACAAAGAGGGAAAAATTTGTGTAGTTACAGAACTTCTAAATGGTAGGGAAGACAAGACAACTACAAGATAGAATGGACTGTTCTAAACTTGGGAAGAAAACTATAAATCACAGGGTAACCTCAAAGAAAAATGACAAACCTTCACATCAAAATCAAAAAGAGAACCAGCACAAATATTTAGCAAATACTAAAACAATAGCAACAAAGGAAGTGATAACATGATTCATAAACAAAACGAGCTCAGCACAGAAAATTATATGGAACAAAGAAATCAACACCACAAAAAAACACACAAAAATGACAGCAACAAATTCATACTTGTCAATAATTACATATCTGGCAAGGGACTTATCTCTAAGATTTATAGAAAACTCCAATGCCTCAAAAGCAAAGGGATTAAAGATCCAATTGAAAAATGGACAGAAGACATGAATAGACACTTCACCAAGGAGGATATTCAGGTAGCCAGTAAATACATGAAGAGATGCTCACCATCATCGGCCATCAGGGAGATACAAACCACAATGAGATACCATCTCACCCCAGCACTGATGGCAAGGTTCAACGAGACAGAAAATAACAAAGGCTGGCGGGGATATGGAAAGATTGGGACTCTCATACACTGCTGGTGGGACTGTGAAGTGATAAACCACTGTGGAAACCAGTATGGCAATTCCTTAGAAAGCTGGAACGGAAGATACTATATGACCCAGCAATTCCTATATACCCACTACCAGGTATATATCCTAGAGAGGTGAGAGCCAGGACAGGAACAGATACATGCACACCCGTGTTCACTGCAGCACTATTTACAATAGCAAAAAGATGGAAACAACCTATGTGCCCATCAGCGGAAGAATGGATGACCAAACTATGGTACATGCACACAATGGAATACCATGCAGCACTAAAGAATAATGTAGTCTGCAAAACACTGTACAACATGGACGACTTGAAGGACATCATGCCGAGTGAAATAAGTCAATCACAGGAGGACAAATATAGTATTAGTTCGTTGTTATTGAGGGTCAAGGAAAGGTTATATATGGAGGGAAACTTTTTTCATTGGTTGCCAGGGGTGGGAGGGGAGTGAACACTGCGGGGGGGAAAAAGTTTCCAATTGCTCAAATCTCCAGAAATTCTTAATCTGGTATTCAAAAACCTCCACAATCTGGTCCCACCCTTCCTTGGTCTCTTCTGCCTCACTAATCACACCATGGCTTATTTTAATTTTAAAAGACTGTCAATGATCTTTAGTCAGAAGCATTAAAGTTCTGATATATCTCCTATCCTACTATAGCTAAGATTACCTGCCTTCTCTCCTAAATATTTCGCATTTTCCCAGTGTTCCTCCTCCCTAGAAAGGCCTGTTCTTTTCTGCTTATTAAAACCCAAATCATTCAAAGAGAAGTTAGAAACCTACACTACTCAGCAAAATGCACCCCATCTTTGGAACTTCCATAACATTCACCCTGGACACCATTCACTTCACATTTACTCACACAAATGCCCTGTGTGGTCAGATCTTTTTTTTTTTTTTTAACCTGTGTGTGTCTTTTCTTTCCAGTTATATTATCAGCTCCCTGAAGTGGAGACCATGTCTCTTAGATGTTTTATTCCCCAAGTTTCTCTGTGGTTCCTTCATTGGTACTCAATACATGCATGTTGATCAACTGACTCTATTTTCCCTTTATTTCTCAATGATCTACTTAAACTCTATACTCTATGAAAATTTTATTTTTCTTACAGGAGCTTGTCCATTAGGGAGAGATTTCTTGGCTGAAGAGGCATTCCATGAACCAAGAGACCATTCACATTTGGCTGATGACTGCTTGTTGGTTGACAGAGATTCATCTATATGTCAAAAGAAGATGTTACCATTATTTGTTGGTGCAGATAACTGCTTGGTTTCCCAACTTTGCCAAAAGTTATTATTTCCAATTTATGTCATCTATACAGTATTCTCCGGTGCCTTAACTTCTGTAACATCTTGGCCAGTAGCTGTAGCTGGGCCAAGAGTCCACAGTCAAACAACAAGGTCAGAGTCCTTTCTTTCCTCTCCAGCTCTAAATGAAAGAATGTGGAGGAAGCCTGATCAATTATCTGAAAGCAAGTAACAGCTACTCAAGTAACAGCTACTCCCACAGGGGAAAGACAGCCTTTATTATTGTTAGTTACATTTCACTGTTGTTGTTGTTGTTGTTGTTATGTGCCATCGAGTCGGCCCTGACTCATAGTGACCCCTCCTTGGTTTTCCAAGGCAGTATCACTACGAAAGTGGGATTGCCCAACCTTCCTTCACTAGGAAACTTTAAAAAAGAAAAATCACAAAATATGGAACAAAAATAGGAAAAAAAAAGGGGGGGGGGTAAATTCTACCTTAATCTCCTCTTTTACCATCATCATACAATCCTGCATTCTGCACAAACTTATCCTTTCTCCTTCATTAATTACCCCTGGAGCAGTCAGCTTTCAGCAAGAACCTATATCCTGAAGACTGTTTATTAGAGGGAATCTATCTTATCTGCTCTAATGTTAAGATTTAAGCTTACTCGGACTGACATTGCCACTCCAGAGCCCTGCTTATTTTCTCTCTTGGGTCAGCACCTTTTCTGACTATCTCTTCCATCTCCACATTATGTATTTTCCTCCCTCTTTCTCTCAAGAATACTTAGATTAATGCTTTTCCATCCTTTGTCCAATGAGATCATCTAAGTTATTTATTTAGGCCTTAGGCCACCAGAACCATAGCCAAAAAAACCTGTTCCTCTTGAGTCGATTCCAACTCATAGCAATCCTACAGGATAAAGTAAAACTGTCCTGTAGGGTTTCCAAAGCTGTAATCCTACTGACTAAGGTACCTGACTGCTAATCAGAAGGCTGGCAGTTCAAACCCAACAGCCACTCCTTGGAAGGAAGACTGGACAATCTACTTCCATAGAGACATCACCTCAGAAACCCAAGGGTCACTATGAGTCAGAATCGACTTGATGGCAGTGAGGTTTTTTGTTTTGTTTTGTTTTGTTTTTTTAATCTTTATAGAAGCACATTGCCACATCTTTCTCCCATGGAGCAACTGGTGAATTCACACCACTGACCTTCTGGTTAACCACCAGGGCTCCTGAACATGCCAGACCAGTTCAATGCAAAAGTGTTTTATCATCACTAAAGGAACCTGGTCCATCCCTGGATGTGATAATTTACAGGCCTTGCTGATTTTATTTTATTGTTGTTATTATTATTATTTTTTACTTTTGCTTTTTTCTTTTTTATTGTGATTTGGGTGAAGGTTTACAGAGCAAATTCACTTTCGATACAGCGGTTCACATATCTTTGTCTCATGACATTGACCATAGTTTACCCCAATGCAACAGCTCCCCTCCCACTTACTCCCCATAGTTACCTCTTCCCTGTGTCCATCCCTCCATACACTCCTGCCCCTTGAGCTGTTTCCCTGTGCATAAACAGCCCTTCTTTCTCCCGTGATTGTTCTCTCCAAGGAGTGTATGTACTTGAGGTAAATGTTCAACTCATATGCCTGTCTTTTGTTTGGATGGAAACCACAGGTGTGGGTTCAATTCCGTATCTGAAGGGCAGCCAGGGGCCATAGTCTCAGTGGTTCCACCAGGCTCTATCGAACCGGCAAACCTGGTCCCCACATTTATTTTTTCTCAAAAATGATTTTGAGTTTTGTTCCACATTGTTCTCCTTCTCTATCAAGGATCTCCTACATAGATCCCCTTCCAAGTGGATGACAGTGGTAGCCGGGCACCATCTCATAGTCGTATAGGCTGCAGATCGGATGA